TGATTGTTAAGCCAAATGCCGTTGAAAAAGATGGCTGATTTTATGTCATTAGAAACTGAACAGTGGAAAAACTTTTAGTCTAAAAATGTAGATTAATAATCATTAATTATATCATTTATAAATTTAAATAAACAAACGAATGAAGTTGCAAGTTGCACAGAGAATGGCATCAAACAAATGGGCCCGATTTCGATTAGACCCGCTGGTTTTTTTCAGCCAACAGTTTTTCGACTCCTAACACTGACAATTACATTATGTCGTGTCAGAAGCTGTCAGCTACCAGGTGATCAAGAACCCTCCTGTCGCCACGATGAACAAGCTCACCAACTCGCGACAGACAGCTTCTACTTCGGCAAGACAAAATTCAGAAATCGCCGCTATGCAGGAATCAAAAGCAATCGTAGAAGAAATGGATCAGAAGAGGAGGCTGATAAAACTGCACATAACAAAATAGCATAAACGTTCAAGTATATATAGTATGTACAATATATGTAATATACACTACATAGTACATGTATGCTTGTGCATATTGCTCAACTCTCTTTGAGTAGACTGAAATAGATTTTCTCGTCACTGAGATATACTGATTTTAGCAACTCAAACTACTAAAGCACATGCATTTATCAGAGAGCCTTGGTTTGGACAAGGATCTTTATCACGTGTAGTTAAAATTCAGTTAAATATCTTGGATGTGATTACGTGTGCAATTTATGACAAGCAATTATTTACGGAATAAACTCGCTGACGTCATCCAGCAATGGATTGAATTAATAGATAAACATTAGGTATAAACAGTAGGTATAAGTAACGTTATATTTAACAACAACTGTTCCGTCTTCGCTGCGTCGTCCTGCTCGTAATGCTGCAAGACTTTGCTCATCTTTGTCAGAGCTATTCGTTTTCCCCATGACATTACGAAATAGTACATACTGGGTGTTTTCGTATTTAACGATAGTCAACAAACGTTGTATAATGCATCAAGTAATAATGTAATATATTTCAATCCATGTCAGTTATATTGATGTCCAAAACATCATATTTCATTTACTGATCATTAATAAATAAAAGATATGTTGTTCTCTTAGGATATAATGACGACAGCGAATACTAATCAAAAAGAGCGAAGTCATCACCCTGGCAAGGTTAACCATTCTGGAATAGTGTCAGTGAAATGCATCATCAAAGTGGACAAAGGAAGTAACGAACAAAAGGAATAAATTCGCATTTAAACATTCGCTATTCATGGCGTTTATACATTCTTTTCATACTACTTTAATCTTGCTTTGCACCTTTTTGCACGAATGCAAATACAATGTATACTATAGTATTAGCATACAATTACTACTCAAAACTGCACGCTCTTGTGGAACGCAAAATCTCAGCAATCGATAACAATAAAATTAGTCTGACTCTACAAATCGAACTTCAGTCCCAGGAATTTTCAAAATATTATCTATTTCACTGATTACAGGCTTCACAAAACAACTATGCTGAAATTACGAATATAAAAATTTTTTTCAAGTTAATTATATTCCGGTATCAAAAGAGAATTGTTAATTAAATTCCATTTAATATTGACAAATCAAAGCATAAACATATACAGTTAATAACTACATATATTATATGTTTACAAGTATTAACATCGTTATATGCAGAGCAACGCATGAACATAGGTAAGTACCTACCGCTGGTTCGGTTAAACTTTCTAACATTTGTTTGTATCTTTCTCTATTACTGAGCATTGACTTCAAAATCAACTGCTGCTTTTCCGCCTTCAGGAGCTGCGGATCTTTGGTTTTGGCAAGAACTGCGACGGAAACAGTGTTAGCATCTTCGCTTCGAGCATTGCTCGTATTAATTATTTCACCGTCCACCGGAGTGACACGGACGTGATCAAGCTTTTCAAGTTCTCCCCTGTCTGACCCTGAACCGAACGATACGGAGGAGATCTGAAGAAAAAAACGATCAAACTCTCATCGTCATATTCCATCGGAAACTTTTCTAATAAAAATAAATCCAATTTCAAAATATCATTTCCAATATACGACAAGATTACTGCACAACTCTCCACTTTTTTCCAAAACAAACTTTATAGAACGACCAAAAGGTTCTTCTATCTCGTTTATTTAGACGTTTGGGCTTCCGGCGCAGAAGCCGACGTCAGGGCCTTTTTACAACACAATGGTAGAGTAAATAACGCGATAATAAAGTACAGAAAATTACAGACGAAGCCGTAAAAATGCAAAAATGAGGAACGTTACAAAAATGGATATAAGAGTAGTAGTTGTAGGATATAAGAAAACCGAAACTAGAGAAGCCATGGATATATCTTAAATTACAGATTTCCAACCAGAACAAATATCAATAGAGCTGGTGTAGCTGTTACAAATCCTTCAATTGTTCATATAAATATATCGGAATTATTTAATAAGCTGGACGATACTGCCCCTTTCGCCATAGAGGATGCTGATGTCTTTACAATTAAAGGCATGTTAATATTGTGACGAATGTGCCAAAGTGCTACAATTATACACTGCTTTGGTTGGATCCTCCTAATGGCGTACTGGTGTTCTTTTGACAATAATTTAAAGGTTCTGTATCCTTTACAAATATATCTTCCATCACAGTTTTCATAGTCAATCTGATAAACTACATTAAATTTGTCATGCTTAACTAGAAATATCTAAACTTATGAGAAGAAACTAACAAGAAATTTTCGGGAGGGTATTAATGGTGGAGGAGCTTTGTGCATGACATAGAAGTCTTAAAGGAACATTAGAAAGAGAATGATTTACCATCGAGTACCGTGAATTTACTGTACACAATGTTCGTGAAAAGGCACGCTGAGAACACACCATTTACTCGAGTCTTAAAGAAGCCATCAACACATCTAAACTTGGGTTCCGGGTATCGAAAGAAGGCTCCAAAAAACTAACCACCATTTCGCCAAGGGAATTAAGGCTGAGCATAATGTACTTGGCCTTAAGGCTTTTCATGAAATGGAAGCGCGGTAGCAGCGACTGCCATAGCTTCATGTATCCCAGAATGTAGTTGTTTGAACCCAGCAGAAACTTACTGACAAAGACGTGAGAAAAGACGGCAAAAATTCTACCTAAAAATAAGCAAATTCTTTTAAACATTAGGCCTTTAATTAGAAAATCATCACTCACAAGCTAAACTTTAAGAGATTAAGCGACAGTGGATTGCACTTCTGTTTCGGTGCAGAAATTCTCAGAGAACATGCAGATCAAAGGCTGTGTTCAAGTATATCTTTTGCTTTGGTTTAGTTCAGGAAACTCGCTACGTTTTCGCCGGCCCAATACCCGGCTGCCCAATTGCACATAGGTATATTATTCTGAACGTCGAACCTTTAAATTCAGTATAGCTTATGTAAACCCAATAAACCATATGACATCTACCGCCTGTTCACTTATGTTTAGGTTGCTATTTTGGCAAGTGTACCAGAAACGCGTCGATTGCAGTACCTGAACAATACTGTTTTCCTAGATGGATCAAACTCGGATTCACGTTTCTCAAGAGCCAGTGAAAATCGGTAAACAGATTAGTTTTCTCGCGAATGACCGACTTCTGAAAAACACCTGGTTCTCTCTAAGAGAACATACTCTTAAATGATTCTAAAGAGAACACAAGTTGAATAATTAGTGCATGGAGAGAAGATTAACTTCTCACACCATTACTGAAGCAAAAAACATAGCAACAGTTAACATGTACCTGCAAGTCCTCTGACTTTTTCTTCCTCCCAAGCAGCAGAAGAATTTCATTCCACTGACTTTCATAAAGACGCTGCAAACAATCGTCCATGTCCACAGTGCCCTGGGCAATTTTTAACTAAAACAAAGTCTGAATAGGCAAAAAATTTATGAAATGGATATATGAATTGGTGAACAAGAATATATATTCCAAAAATTAAACTTTGTTGTTACTGGTTTGCTAGCAAATCAAGTCCTCAATCAGCAAATTTCACGGCGTATTGAGTCCACCCTTGCCTCTATTTGCTAGTAGAGTCATCTAAGCATTTTACGTTTCCATGGTATTTGAGTACCCTGTAGTGTCAGATACTTCTAACATGAGCGAGAGGTGTTTCTAGCGGAAAAATGACACGCGAAATGTATCTTCGCTGCAGGTACGCAAATACTACACTACCGTAAGTTGCATAAACGCCCCTCCCCATTCTTCTAGGCAACTAGGAGTAAACGGGCGGTGCAGTACGTCAAAAAATCTCATCTTGAAGGAATTATGCATTACTGTTCGTTGAAAAATGTAAAAAAAAACTTGAAAAGCACGCATTTCTACCTCCTGATTCAATCGTTCCACAACTTGCCGCTCGGAAACGCAACAGTGTTCAATACGATTAAGCTGTTCTCTGAGCTTTTGAGCAGCTCTCTCCAAGCGCCGTAGTTTCACTTTATGACGAACGCCGTCCGTCGTCAGAATATTGAGCCGCTTCTTATTCTTCAGCATCAGTTCCCTTCAACAACAAAGTAACAGACCACGGTCAACTGTTCAGTACCAACGAATTAAGCCCACCTGTGTCTGTTCATGTCGTTGGCACAAGCTCGTAACCTGGCTTCGATGCTAGATGTAGTGGAGACGACGGATGCCGGTTGTTCGACATTTTCCTCCGCAACACTCTGGATAACGGTGGACTTCAGATGAGACGCGTCTCTTGTTTCACTATTTTGTTCATCCAGTTTGGAACGTTTTATTTCCAAAGCCTTCTCACGAGCAGACTTCAAGCAGTTGTCCAACAAGGCCGCAGCGGCGTCGTTCTTTTTAGTCGTCATTTCTTCGTTTGAGGGCACTGACCTAGCATCATTCATCGACTCGACCTCGGATTCGCTGTCGTCGCTGTCCTCCAGTGGTATAAGTATAGGTTCTTGGACGACACCAACTTTCTACGTAAACCAAAAAGGATGAAATAGTGAAAATATTTAAGCGGATCAATACTTGATAATTGATATACACATTCCTCCTTTTCCGATCATATCTCAGAGAATTAAAAGGGCGCAAAGTGGATGGGGGATACGTATTATTGACTTTTTTCGGCAGCACGTGCGCATGAAACATCTTTGACAAATATCGTGATGTTGGAGCCACCAGCTGACGCTTATCAACGGTTGTCTTCAAGCCCGTTTCAAGAACATCGTCACCAGTGTCTCGCGATGCCGGTTTAGTTGTGTTCTGTTTCTTAAAACACAAAAATAAAGTTATATTTACTAAAATGATCGACAATCTAATATTCTGTCCAGTCCAGGTCAAATATGTTACAATGCGTGGGGGGAGGGGACAAACATACAACCGGACTAACCACTGCAATAGGACGACAGTTCAGTGATTGAAATATGGATAACACGAAAAAACAGCCTGGGCGATCTGAAGTTCAGAATCGTCTGTGACGTTCTTATTATCAGTGAGTGGTGAAACAACGAACAGCCATTAAAGCTGTGGTCGAAAACGGACATGCTGATGCCTGGAAAAGAATCAGGGTCGGATACAAAGGAAACTACCAGAAGAAGCGCTTCTAATACAAAGACATTTGAAGCAAATGTCTGAACAAATACGGAGGTGCGAACTTGTTTTCAATCAGAAAAAACAGCAGAGCTGGTGCAGAAGACTCAGACAGAACTAAACCTCATTCAGTACGCTTAGGCTACAGTACATTTGGTTGAACGCATTTAAACCTTAATCCGGCTTCACGATATCAACGATAGTAGATTGTTAAGTAGGATATAAGAAGATAATAGCCTGAATGGAAGTTTGCTAAAACTCTAAATGACCCATGTCACTCACGAGTGCCTCATTCGATGAATCAATGTAACTAGTCCAAAACCAAAAGCTTCTTGCCCACGCTATATTCGCTAACTTTACTAGTTTAAATTCAGCATTTCATGAAGTAGAGCAGAAATGACAAGAATGAGTCTGTAATTTGCTATGCCATAACGTGACAAAGTTATATAGGAAAGACAGACAACCGGTTAAGATTCACGCCTATTCTCATTGTCTATTTTAAAATTTCTCAGATCAGGTATGATAATCACACGCAGCCATGTCAGTCGAACATTTACCTTGGTCGCTAACGAGCGCAGGAGAATCTCTCGCAAAGTCTCGGCTTCCTCGTCGTCATTGTTCGTATGCCTGGCGGCCGTCGCCTGTGAGGACGAGTCGAAACCTTTGCAACTTCCCGAGCGGCGTAAAACGCTTCCTGGTCGGCTGACGCTGACCTCTTCGACAGAAACTTGGCGCACGTCGCTGTCAGACCTGACCTGCGGCAGAGTAGAGGGCACTGAAGTGAGTTGGCTGTCACTGGACTCGTGGTCGATCGATGTAACGTTGAGGTTCGGCTGATCGGTATCGCTGTCTAGGTCCATACTCGCCGTTTCATAATCGTCCATCGCAAGGTCAGGGACGGTGGTAGTCATTGCATCATAATCCGGCGAACCTACCTTTGAAATCACAGCATCGTTCTTCAGGTCCACCAGTTTGAGAAACTCGTCTACTTGAACCTTCGGGTCAGGTATACTAAAACGATTCGCTTAAAAGAACAAAAACATAAAGCAAGGATACGACGAACATCATCCAACTCGGTACAGTAATGTCGTAAATCATTTAAACCATGTAGCTGATCATTCTTGCCAGTACAACACCTACTAAATCAGAATGATAGGAGACAGCGGTAATACAGAAATCCATAAAGAAAGCAGAGTGAGATCCCTCTGCTGCTTTGCCCACCTTCTGAACAGTGGATAAATCGTGGATCAAAAAAAGAATACATAGTTGATGCAAGAGGAGTGACATCAGGAAATGAAGTAAAAACAATATCCTTAGCGTCACCTCTTCAAACATGTGCACTGACGGTTTGTGCCATATTCATGCTCAGCTGACTATAATCGTATAAACAGTTACCATGCTACTTCAAATTTACAAATTTTACCGGTAATAAACGCATACCAGTGCTAAACATTGCTTTATTGCTTTATAGCACTCCTCTCCTGCTCCGAGCTACTTATAGTGTCATTTAAGAAGGCCAGGCATCCATAGAATTTGAGCACTTCTACGAGCAAAATATCATTCTAGTCAAAAAACTAATAAAAGCTCATGTACTTGTACCGAAATACCATGGAAACGTACCAACATGACCCTTACAAACTCATCATCATGGCAGGCTTCCTCGATGCGATGTATGAAAACTTTCAAAAGATTTTGACATAAAACTGTTCCATGCAACTCTTGTTTGCGGCAGTTACGCTACTTCAACAAACTTCTAATTTCGTCTGACCTGAAAGAGGCAAGGCGTAGGCGGGTTTTATGGAAAGGACTACCCGTTTCTCAGCCCTAATATAAGACAGGTCCGCTAAAAGCACTGGATGCGAGGGCGATCTTCCGACTCAATTCTGATTTGATGGTGTCATCGCTGAAGATGATTCAGCTGAGGTAATTAAATCTCCATGGCCTCCACTCCTTGTTCCACCAGTAGATAGTAGATAAACCGTATCTGACAGATTCCTCGTACCTTTTGGACTTCTGGCCGTTAAGGCAGAGGCCAGCTTTCGCAGCCATGTTGCAAACGGAAGCTGTCATGGGACAGAAGCCACTTACAGCACTACTTATCACAACAATTTATCATCTGGATAATCTACATCAGAAAGATATCTAGGGCATCTAAGTACTTACCAATATATACTATTTATATGAATGTTTACTGTAATGTACAATTACATAAGAAAACGATATTAACAAACTAAGTTAAAAAACATAAGGGTATAAATCAATGAAAAACCACTCAGAAC